ACTCTTTTTGCGGCCAGTACCTAGCCCTTTTTCAGATATATATTACTACCGTAAAATTCCAAAAATAAGCCCCGGGGCTTATATTTTTCAAAGGCCCTTTATGAGGGGCTTATTTTTGGAGGGGCTTATCGATGGAGGGAAATTTGCGTTTCAAAATCGATTGGGCTAGCCTTACAGTTGAAGGGAATTTACCGTTTTTGCTTTGTTTTATTTTGTATTTGAGGGGAATATTCCAAGTACAAGCCCTCGGGGGGCTTATATTTGGAGGTGCTTATACACGGAGGGGCTTATTTTCGGACTTTTACGGTATTCCCTTTTATCTAGCTTTAGGAAATCATTAGCAATGGACCTGCCCAGGCATTTCACTTTTGGAGCTAAAACTAGATAGGATTTCTAGTTTGTTGGACAGTCACTAGAAAATGGGAAAAGTAAATGTGATGCCTGTATAAACACCGATTCAAATTATTGCATATAAAGAACTCTCCTTCGTAATAGGCTTGTGATTACAAATAAAAAAGTTACAAAAAACCAAAACGAAAACATTGTATGCTAGTAAGGAAGAAAATGAAGCAAGGAGCAAGCGCAAGACAAAAATATCCACGCGGATGTATTTGCTGCACGTGATCACTTAAATGTAAATATTGCGTGACATCGATCTGGGTTTTTTTTTTTCAGTTCAATTAGTTCCTTCACTTCTTGCCTCTTTTCATTAGCAATATTCAATACAAAACACAATAGATACGCAGAGGATGCTTTATATGCAATACATGGATCCAGGTCCTGCAAAAATATTCCACAAGCCAGAGAAAGGTGACACTTTGAAAATGCCGTAGCCGCGTATGAAAAGGCCGGTTGCTGACTCGGCGGCAAGACACAGGAAAATTAGCGAAGAACATCAAAATTATTTGCCTTCAAACACCCATTTGGAAGGTAAGCTGTCATCGAAGTATTATCTCAGGTTTACTGGGTAGTTTCAATGGGAAATAGCAGGGTTTTTCAATGGTTTGCTCAGAAGGCGAGCTAAGGCTAGTCGAATTGTTTACATTTCCTGATTTAATAAACAAAATCTCTTCGAAAGGTCAAATTGGGTCAACTTGCATGGGGCCACTCGCCTCAGAAATAACTTTTGCCAAGAAAAAAATTATATCAAGTTCAAAAACAACTCTTGTACTTGCTAGAATTGAATTTTGAAAGATTTCTACATAATACCGAGTATGTTTTGAGATGTTTGAAAATGGTATGGAATTTTTGATTTTCAAAGTCTAGAAATTTCGGTTCTCTTCGCTTGCTCTCCAGGAATTCGGAATTAGAATTCGAAGTCTAAAATATCATCAAAGCAGCTTAACAATACCTCCTAACTAAAATTATAAACTAAGGAAAACCATAATTTGCTATGCGCCTTCACGCGAGTTCGATTATCTGATCATGAAATTTGACCTCATTTCTGTGGCTTTTCGGCTTCACGGGTTGTCGACGGTTTTTCGTAATTTTCTCAAAAATGTAAAAACTCTAGAACCTAAAACTTATATCACGATTCTTAGCATATCATAGGTTATCCCTGGACGAAATATCAAGGGGTCCATTTTTCCGACCTTGTGCCGCCCCTCACGCGGTGATTAGGGAGAGTGGCTCTTAATATTTTATTTAAAAGAATTTACAAATACAACTTTAAAGCTTTTTATAAAAGCTCAAAGGAATGTTAATAGTGATAACAGAACAAATAGTACACTACAAGGGCAAGGTGTGAGCAATAATAGTGTTTACAAAGCTAGAAGGCTCTCTGTGATCTGTTGACTTTAGGCAAAACCTTTCTGAAGGTTTCCTAAAAATTTCGTAGTCGTCGCGTTCCAGTCGAAAAAAGGTCTAAGAAAAAATTTATCTTCGATGACTTCGCCAGAATTAAAAGCAAAAATCACCACCAGCGATATAAATAAACTGAACAATGAGCATTGGGGACATTGACTGTAAGTTTTGCGAACTGTAAGCTTACCTCCATGCGCCCCCTCTTCATGCGAAGATTTCTTTCAGATTCAAGATCTGTTGATTGTCTGATCTTTCTTCCATATGCTAGCAAAAGATCCAAGTTTAATTTTCCGCCACTGATTTCCGTTGAAAGCCCCGGTAAATGCTATTACAGCACTCTTCGAAGTTATTAAACCGAGAAAACAGCGAAACTGTCAGCTGAAGACAAACCTATTCCTCGAATCTCTCATTCAGTTGGTCAGACTCGGGAGCAGCTCAATTCTATCGACTGAAACGGTAGCTGCACACATGCAGAGATCGAAAGAGTTTTCCTAAATAAGAACGCATCGAA